TATATATCTATTTATATAATGTGTGTATCTCCTATATACAAACGAAGATGTACTGCTTCGGACCTTCATATTTCCTTTTCCTGACTAGAGCCGCGTCTCACTAGAGGGCCGGCCTCTGTAAAAAAATATATATTACCTAATCAATCTGCGATCTTTTCATTTTTCGCTTGTATAATATTTATATTTAGCATCTTATTCGTTCCTTAAGATTATTTATTGTTAGTGCCCTAATATTATTTTATGATTACCATTCATGTTTCCGTTACTCTGCCTATGATGTAATTGTTAGATTCATCCTCTTTCATTAATGAAGTAAAGATATTCGCCTGTAGCTAAGCCAGCCGTTAAGCACCGAATTCTTCTTACAATAGCGATACGTAACTTAAAAATTGTTTTAGGTAGAAAAAAAAATTCATATAAAACAATTCAGTAAAACCACCAATTTTCAATGTCTCGGATCAATTATTGCACACCACATACTATCTGCTACTTTACGATTACTTAACGATTGAGTGACTAAAATAAAACACTGATACTGTCTGTTTAACGGCTCCTCTGTTTTTTTTAACCAACCAAAACTCACATGTCTCAGGAGACCTGCTATGGCTAACCGCTTTACGTTAAATTGCGGTAGATTAGCATTACCAAAGTTCCTATTGACAAGGGCAACAAAAAAGGAATCTTAAACTGCTATGAATAGCACAACTATGTCGTTCAGAAAAATCGCTCTGTATTTTTGAGTGAAAAGAAGTAGATGCATTCGAACTAGACTATAAATAGTCATAAAAAGCGATACTTGCCACGGACCACATCAATTAATTATTATCCATATATGAGCAACATCTTATTTATGTTGTAGTCTATAAAAAAAAAGGCTTGAACTTCTATAGGAGACGAATATTCCAGTGGTTTTTCACCTAGAATATTTTTAATCTTCTTTCACCTAACTGAAGTTAAAAATCTTCCTTTAAAATTATAACTTGACAACCTCGTTGTTTCTTCGTATCTCAACATATGTCAGCTTACGTCAGCGCTCTTCACTGATCTTAACGTATGGTATTTTTTTAAGATATCTCCTTTTTGTCAGCGGCATTTGGAGTGTCGCCTTGATGTACAACTTCTCAGTTACAGTCAGCACTACTAATAATTGTTAAGATTTTTTATGGATAAACTTCTTGTTTACACAACCATGTTCCAGCCACTTGGGTTTCAAATTTTGTTCGCATTTATTTAGTACCAATTCCCTTATCATGATATCTTCTCAATGTTCACTACAATATTCTAACAGCATTTTCAATTTAGGTATTATTACAAGTACAGGCCACATCGGGTATTACGGCCGTGATAACTAACTAACACTCACACACATCGATATATATATATATATTTTTTAAGTATTCATTTTAAGCTGCGGCCTTCGCTCTCTAATTAAAGATCGCGTTTACAGCTTTATTAGAGTTATTACACCTAGCAAGAAACAGCTCCTGTTGGATTTGTTTATAACATTACTTTCGTGCGAATGTGTATGTGTTTATATATTCACACGTGTTGCTTGTGAGTATGTTGTATCATGAAGGCCATTTTGTGCGGTCGTATAATATAACCAACATCCTGTGAACAAAAGGGGACTTAAATGAAAACCTACCACGTTCTTTCCCTCCCTATAAGAAAATACATTCATACGTATAGATCTAGCAGTATTATTAGTTCTAGTGAACAGATAGACAAAACCCAATGTGTGGCGTGTTTACTACAGAGTTGATTCGTACATACATACGTGTATATATATATATATATATATATATATATATATATATACTGGCAAATAAACAGACACATACCCCATATATATATATAGTGTATGCGTCTGTTTATTTGCCAGTAGTAAACATAATTCAGTAGATATTTAGCGTAATGCTATGTATTTCCGGCATAGTTGGTGCCTCACTCGACATGGCACGGATACAGAGCTGAAAGTCCGTAAGTAGAGCATAACATACTGTCTCGTCACCACCCCTCGTTTCCCCTTTTTCCCCAAATAACGTTATGAGCTTATAAATTCGACGCTTAACTATACCAGATTGATAGTTTTTTTATGCTTCAAACAGATTACTTCGTTAGGACAAAGATTGTGACAAAACAAAGTCAACTTCACCCTACCTACAGCATTCCACCATATTGATGACAAATACATGCCAATTTACTGACATTTTGCTACAGCTGCATAAGAGATCACCTCGGTAATTGCTGTAACGCATTTTGCATCTTATTTCTGACAGGATTTACAACAAAGGTAAATGATGCACTTACACCTGGCGAGCGGCAGTAACAATGAATATTATGGCGCCTATTATGAACGGAGTGTAACGAAAGAAGCCCGTTTTGATGATGGTTTGACTTGGACGAAGGGGAAATGAGATCTGCTCTACCTTCTAGCAGCGATTGTCGAACGACAGACTAATCGATTAAAGTCATGCGATGTTTTCTTTTATTAATACCCCCTAAACAGTGGCCATATATATTGTTTGTTTTGAAGACTATAACATGAACCAATCTAGTAAGTATTAAAAGCAATGTATAAAATATCGCGCATATACGGCATTTGCCTTGATGCCTTAAATGTCGCACAACTTCAAAATGGAGAACTCTAATGCTAGTATTTCTTTTAAACTAATATCTTTCTAATAGCAGGCTTGTTAAATTAAAGGCTGACTAGACAATACAACACCTTTTAATGTTATAAGTAGTCGGTCCTATATAGTAGTGGCTTTCTGTGCCAGCAAGAATGCTAGGGAACTATTCTAATCTCAATGGGGCAATATTATCAAAGATATAACTATTATCGCTATATCCTTTGCGACCCTACATTAGCAAGGGCTAGAAAGGGCGAGGCCCGCAGCTGGACAGTATACAAGTAGCTTCGCCATATTCATAAACCACCTAGTAAACGCAGAGCAACTCTGCATATGAATGTAGAGCTATAATTCGGTTCTTTAAGAACTCAGAATCTCACTGTGGACGTGAGTGTGGGTGTATATGTAAGCTTTTGAATGCATGAGGACCGAGGCGCGTTATTGGAAGACGCTAACTAAGCCCAAGACACATAGTTAGGTATATGGAGAATTACAATGTCCAACGATTTTTACGTCCGGTATGCCGTGAAGCATTTCTTCAGATAAAGTATATACAACTGCACTAGCTCTCCACACAGCGAAAAACAAGAATCAGACTGCTATGAGCTTAGATTTCAAAAAGATGTGCTGCACACGCACACGTCAGAAGATGAGTGAATCCGTAAACTCAGTCGCATATACCAATCTCATGCACGCGCCGAACTACTGGGATATTCCTGGCATTTGGGTTTAGTTTCATCTCTATGAAAATGTTTAGGTAGTATCAGTAAGGGTATCAGACTGAAATGTGTAGTTTTTTGCTTCTAAAACGCAACGTATTATGATTTTCTAAGTTTTGCCTACGCCAATATGTTTCTGTTTGAGAGATAATCGCCAGGTGGCCATAGATGATGTCCGACTATACCATATGCAGGTGATGCAAATTCAAGTGCTTCTATGGTTAGAATCAGTTTTGAATATCACTTGGGGAAGTAACAGGTTAACAAGAAGTGCTCATATGCGGTAATACGCCGCAATAATCTCATTGATACGTTCGTTTCTTCGACCTTACTTCGAGTTTATCGATGCCATCACATTTCACATATGTAAGCACTGTCAATAGTCTATTGTTGTATGTCCAAATATGCTCACTCCTCTAAGGCAATTGGTTGCAAACCACCCGAAACAGCTGGCTTTGATGCTTAAGCATCTATTTATATATCTATCTATGTATTAAAAGGTCAGGCGCGCTACATTCGTTCCAAAGACATAGCCTTCGATCTTTACAGCTCGAACGAAAATTATAAACGATCTACACGTCTTTTCATATGTTATGCTCAACCGGATTTTTCGTATCTCCGCGCCATCTTTTTCAAGATGCTTTATTTGTATTCTACAGTTGGAGGTCAGAACATTTCGAACATCTCATCATTTTAGGTTTTCGCATTTCTATTATAGTCACACAAAGTAGGCCCGAAATAGACTTATTTTGAAATCGAAATTCATCATCGTTTGTTTCTCAATCTATTCCTCGGTCTCTGAACGAACCATGATTACCGCCCTTGCCGTTTCCTGACGATGACTGTTGACCGCGCGTTGAGCTGCCTGTTCCTTGTGTGTTCAGTAACAACAAATGTGAGAACTGTGTGCCGACCCCACTGGCGTTTGAAACGATGCTACCATTTCCGCCACCTGCAGTCGCTTTTCCGCCTACAATGGGACTCCCTGAAAGGAAAAACAAATGAATTACTTTCTATACATATAGTTTACTGAAAGTTACGTAAGTACGCGTCAAAGGCCGAACATAAACTTGTAATAGTATGTATATATATATATATATATACATCTATATATGTGCTTTATAAGCAACCTCTACAGAGGCTCATTAGTACACATAATGTAATATAGGTATGCTTACCTTGGCGAATAGCGTTGGCAAGAACGGCAGCGTAGGTGTTGTATCGTTTTAGCTCGTACTGCAGGAAGCCTTCTTTAGCGGCATTGCGTTCCGCCCGTTCTTTTTCTTTGTCTTTCTCTCTTCGTCTGTTACTGGTCGAACCTGACGAAGACGATGAACTGCTGTGGCAACCGCTACTGCTACTATTGGCACTACCAACAACGTTATTATAGCTATTGGCGATCGTGTTAGTATTGTGGTGCGCCGGCGAATTTCCTGAAGCCTGACACTCATGCACCTCCCTCTCCAGGCAGAGCACTCTGGCATAATGTGACTCGAGTTGCTCTTGGGGCTTTAGCCTAGTGTGCGAGATGGGCAGCGTCGGCCTCTGGAACTTGGCTGTGTTCGACGTGGGGGCCGGAAGGGCGGGAGCAGATAGCGCCGCTGCTACACAGTTGATTGTGTCAACCCAGGCGAGGCAATCCTCATCTGACGTCGCTTGGAACAGGAACTCGGCGAGATCAGCCGTCTGGAGACGGAATACCCAAGGACGTTTTGTGTAGTCACACGCTATCGTTGCCAAACAGTGATGTATCGGCGTTGTGTGTTGCATCGAGTCTGTTAAGCTTCAACGGAATGAGATGTAAATAGTGAAAACCTAATCGAGTGGCGTATTTTCGTGCGCAAAAAATATTTTACTGAAATTTATAAAAGTTCTGATTTCCATAATCTTTGCCTTGTGTCTGCTGGAAATTTATAAAGGCTATTAGTTTGGAGGAAGAAGTCATAACTGCAAATAGTAATAGTTGACTAAGCTAGCGTATTATATAACATGTTGGAGCAATGCAATGAAGTATCTGCTGGTTTTGGGCCACACGCGTGGAAAAAATAGATCCGATCCTCTGTCTATAGTATCATTTAATCAATAATCGAATCAATTATATCCGCCTATTCATTTGATATGAGTTTTATTTTAACTAACTAGTAAAAATGCAACATTGTCACATTTCAGCAAACGTCATTAATTCTCCCTAAAGTTACGTATCGTAACCGTCTCAAACGTAACAAACTCCAAATAACCTACGTATCCAGCCTTTTTGACTGATCCAATAACTATCTAATTCGTATAGGGCCAGCTGTCAGTTTATAGTTACCTTTTCATTTCATCACAACTTTTTTCATCTTTATGAAGTAAAAGCAGCAAATCGGACAGTTTGGCGTAAAGGGGCCTCCAACCTCGTTTGCCACGAGGAGTCCTTTTTCCGCCTGGATCTACACAACACTTTCTGACAAGATAACCTCGACGGAAATCCCTCTGTTGCTGTTGCTGCTGTTGGCGGGTTCCTTCCGCCACGGTATTCCCTGCTGTAGTGGTTGCGCCTGTGAGTCCTGTAGACGATTCAGCACCACGATGTGTAGGTGTCGCTTCACCCTCTCTGAAAGTCGACGAAACACGCATATTATAGTCGTTGTTGAAGAGAATGTTGCCCGTAATGCGCGAGCTTATTACGAAAATACCATGTTTGCCTTGCTAAAAAGAGCCAGTTTATAACAACGCGTAAAACTTTGATGGCAGTTACTCGGATACTGTAGTATCTATGACAAAAGAAACGGAGGACAAATATATGTGGCGTTTCCACCTCTAGAATTAATCATATTCTTGCAATATAACCGTATTATAATTGCTCGGGTAAATTGCTTTGAAACCATCATCCCAGGTTACATTGTATAATAAATTGCGGCGTATGTAAGAGGCGAATCGTAAAAACAAATTGTAAGGCGCCGACTAGAATAGATGGTTGCAGTGAACGACTATAAAAAATGCCTTTTCATTCTACAACGTTTTCGCTAATGCTAGGCAAACATTCTTGAAAAGAGATGCCCATATCAAATTAATAGGTTTTTTAACGTTTTCCTCAACTTGATTTTTTTGTATTTTTCTTCGACAAAATACTTACGTAGCCCACTTGATAGGTTGGTCTTTGATAGCCTGGAAGAGCATTCTTAGCATTTCCTTAGGGAAGTCTTTTCCATCATTTAGTCCCGACAAATTTTGAGCAAAGTCCTGCGCTGTCATTCTTCTTCTCGACAGTCCTACAAATTATAATTATCAGGTTTAATTAGATAGCTATATACATGAGATAAACTGATTGATTAATTTTGTGGAAGCGGAACCGTAAACTTCTTAAGTGCAGCAAAAATAAAAGCAATCAGTTCACGATCAAGCCTTGTCTTCGCATCAGTTAATTCTCTTGATGGCTTTGTGGGGCTCTCCTAAACAAGATTCTACCGAAGGCCGAACAACTTCCAGACGTGCAAGGAAGTCATGAAACACTTGAACAGAGCGTGTCGCGTAAATATGGTCAACTTGTTACTAAATAGCAAAATGACTATAGATTCTCGTATGACCCAAGACACAAACTTTAACTTCCCGTTTCTAGGAGAAGCTGAACTCAAATCACAGAAGTGAGCATGAGAAAGATGTCAGTTTGAATAAGTCGTATGTGAACCTGTCGCCAGGTCATGAGCCCTTACTTTACACCTGCATTATAGGCAAGCTTAAATGTTCCTGTGGGTGTATGTACTTTTATACAATCTACTTTTCCACCTGCTGATGCAGAAACAGCCTTGAATATAATTATTAAACATAACTATCCTATAAACACCATGAGTGAGAAACGCCACAAGACATCCAAACTAAAAATGCTATAAGGCTTAAAAAAGCAGCTCAAATATGATATTTCTGCTAACCGTTTATCTTATAAAATTTATTCATTGCGATACCAACTCTTTAATAATAAAGCTAAAGCTTTTGAAAATAAAGGAAAGGCATTTGTCATTTTTCTCAAAATGCTAAATGACACCCAGTGAAGAGCTGTTAGCTCTATGTAAATATGACAACTTTATATAATTCTCATGGGTTTGCACCGAAAGAATATTTTTTTCTACATCAACGAAAACACCGATTTCTGTGTATGAAAAAACCTGCTTACATTGCATAGTTACCGCTTGCGAGACGCTAGGCAAGCATATACCAATAACTGTACTGTCTTAATGATCTTTCTGATAAAAATAAGCGTTCAGCAAACGATTTTTCGCAATGCCTTAGAAACCTGCCTAGGCAGCGCTGATGGACGTCAATCTAATTTTTGATTTTTTCAGTCTCGAAAAAATGCTAAACGTAGCGTTTCGGATTAAGAACAATAAAAAATTCACGGCCCAAAAACAAGTATGGTTAATTTTGGATCTGAGTCGTCGTCTGCTTATATCCTTTTCAGGCCTAAAGTATGTCAAATTAGGAAATGAATAGAAGTACACGTCTCGAACCAAAGACTAATTCTTTCAATAGAAACAAACAGGTCTTCCTCATAGATTGTCTCTGCGAATGTCCTTTCAATTTTCAGGTTGAAAACATTGCAGAAACTCAAAATCTCCACAGAAGTTTAGAAATTGATCTGTTAGTAATTAGACATTTACAAGACTTATGCTCGCTATGTCTAATGTTATCAGCATGTCACCCATCCATGAGACCAGATCTATAACGCCTATATCTAGTATTTATATTATACTTGCGAACCTTATAGGTCACGACTGGTGACAAAACCTAGAAAGAAAAAATCGCACCACAGTCTGATCATGGTGGGTACGCATGATTACATCACAATATTCTATGTGTAGCCAGTTAATTATCATTCACTACTTCTAGCATCAGTAATCAGTGTGTCAAATGTGATAAGCAAGGGCCGATCAGTAAGTTTTATGAATAAAGTAAAAGTTATTTGTTTAATTATCTTTTAAAATACACTTTTCAACTTAATGTAGAATCTAAGTATTATCTTAATTAATTTTTTAATTTCTCTTACTTATCTTCGCCTCCTTTGTCTGAAACGAATAATCTGCTCTCTATTATCGTCAATCACATCTGATTGATAACCAAACAAACACACAATAATAACCCTTCAAGAAACGTTATCCACGCTTTTCTAAAACGTTGAATGTTGCTTTGTTAACTTAACTTCGCCTTGTAGAGAGCAGAATATGCACGAATCCGATAGAGCAAATTTGGGGCAACAGGTGAGTAAAACATAACTCAGTTTATTCCGAAAAAGAAATGGCAGCTCTGTGATGAGACTACTCCGTTGTGTATAAACCACATTGGGTCGTCGTGTTCAAGGTTACCTCTTAGAGGTGAGAATCGATCTTATTGAATACTTCTTCTGCTTCCCCCGTCTTGCGTTCCCGATAATTATAATGCGGAAAAGGGTCTATTTTCATACGTCGATAATCACTCCATGCATCTCTTTCAAAGCAATACGTATTTCCATCTACAATCACTGTTACCAAATTGAAGTGATTCTTATGGATCGTTAAAATAATAACGTGTCGTAGAGCGCGAAATTAGCGAGCGGATCACATCGCACGGTGTTGTACTGTGCTATGAGCTCGAAAATGTTTGTCTAGACTGTACGTTGAAATTACATTTGGGATAAAAACGAAATCGACGGTCGCGAGATGGCCGCGATTTTATTGTAGAACTAAATCAGATTTCCCAACCGTCTTTGTCACTTCATCCCTTTTCTCAGGAGACAAATGAAATCAAAGAAAGATTAAAGCAAAACGAGCTTGTTTCATTTGGTGTAGGCTGTAGAATTTCTAAAGCAAAATAATTAAAGTTGATTTGATAGAGGCGGTGTTGTAGGTGCGTACCGTTTCCATGGAGATCAGTGTTCAAAAGCATAAGAGCGCAGGTCAAAGTATGTACGGCGTCTTGTGATCCAAGTTGATCTGAGCACTGAGGATTGCAGTCGAGGAACCGCTTGCTGAAATGTGCAAGCACACGCTCCCTTTCCTGAGTTTCGCCCTGAAGACAAAATTTGTCCAGAAAACGACGCAGAGCCACATCTAACGATAGGCCCGAGAAGTCGAAATGTCTAAGATATTCTTCTGCAACGCATCGCGAGAAATCATTGCTACACAACAAGGAAGAGAATACAGATTGGTTGAAAAAAAAGCTAGCACTGATGCTACACGTCTCTAATCCCAGGCCCAATACGGATTTTGAACATTACAAATAATGAAGGACTAAAAATTGATGATGTAGATAACAAACGCAAAAACCCAAAACCCTGTTAAAGATACTACCTCGACTAAAAATCATGTGCAATTGCGCAACCAACCTAATATATGAAATGTTTTTATGACGCTTGAAGTTCTTTTTCTACAGTGAAAGAATTAAACAAGACACTGAGATTATTATTAAAGTTTTTGGCAACTGGATCGCCGGTTAGTTCGGCAATGTTCAACATGAAATACCCTTTAAGAATTATCTAAGGCTCGTTGCGAAAGACAGGAGGTGTAATGCTGAATTCTAAAAGTGATTGGTTAGCAGTCACAGAGGTAGGCGTCTGTAGGTCCAAAGACAGGATGTCACTAATGCAATAGAAACAACACATTGCATTTTTCGAGCATTCTGAAATCCTTATACTTTTGTATCACAAATTAACCGAAAATTCACCAAACCGATGTGCCCATAACTGTATTACGCCTCTATCGTCTCTCCCAGGAGGTTCGCCATCCAGAATCTGGCACTCCGATGCTACTAAATACAATATATGGGAAGTGAGGAGCTCTTACATCAGCGATATTAAAAGAAAGCTATTTGGGGTCACTAACAACGCTGGAGCAACATATAGGGATTATGTGGTTACGAGGCCAAGTGCACGAATCTTATGGCTTCCAGTAGTCATTTTCAAAACTATAAGAATCGGATAGCTATGAGGCACTCTAGCCCGAAGATCGGCTAGGGAAAAACACCAAGCCCTAAGGTTATTTATACAACTGCATGTTGCAAAAAACAGATCCCCTGCGCAAGTACTGTAAAAGTTTAACAAAATAACAGTTTAACAAAGCCTATTGCTCTATTATACGGTTAAATCGAAAATCCCGCAAATAGTAACAACTATTTGAGTTGATGATTGGAAACAAACCTTTGCAAGTAACAATCTTCTTTGATATATATATAGTTATTCCAAACCACAAAAGGAGTAACCATGCAACTAGGCCACCGTAGAAAACATCGACTCCAAATTGAGACTTCGAGAATTTTGTCTGTGTTAATTTTTTCTAGGAAATGACGGGGACCAGCCGATTCCACTACAGCAAACTGAACAACTATACATAAAAAATATACAACTATACTTATGATCTTACAATTAGAGGATAATTAAAAGCGTGTGTTTTGCTGTTTCGGTTACTTACTTTTTAGAGAGATGATGCGAAACGTCAACTTTTTTGAAACCTTCGAGGTTGAAAAGACGCTTAGCTAAACGCAGTGCAGAGGGGACATCGACCGAGGTCCGCGTCAAGCCTGGAGGTGGCAAGCCCAGAGGTGCTAAAGGTGAGCCCGATGAATCGGCCAATAATCCAAGCATGGCTGGCGGAGACTTTAGAGCTTCTTCTGGGGAAGCTGGCGGTGACACCGTTGGTAAAGGAGGTGGTGGAGGTGTAGGTGGTTCACGTGGTCGCTCTTCCTTTTCGGACATTACACTAGCCCCCGGAGTGATTACTGGGGTCAGACCTGCATCAAATGAACCACCTTCCGGGCCGCACAAACTGGTATTAATCACTTTTCGCTCTTCCGAAAACGTTTCCTCTTTGTAAAAGCTCAACGAAGACTCGTCCATCGAATGACGTTGCCAGCTTGAACTGGTAGTTACTAATTCGTGAAAAAAATGTAATCGCAATTAAAAAACGCATAAAATTCAATAGCCACATAGTAAAATTTTCTTTACAGCTACAGCATTGATAACATATTTCTAACTCTGAAAAATGTATGAGCGAATCAAAATACCTCGTACAATGACATATCTATGAATAAAAAAAAAATCCTTGTATTTTGATGTTTACTTTGAAAGTTTAGTGATATCTGTATAGAGTGACAATTAATGCAAGTTGTATATACACCAAAGCTTGTCGTTTGTCATACACTATTTTGTGTGCAATGGAACATGTTGGCGTCATATTGGAGCTCTTTTTTTATTTCATTTTTAACCAACGGAGCCCTCAAAGCCCTCATACCTTGTCCGCGTTTTTACTCAGTCTCCATCGAAGTGTGCCGGTTAAGACGTTAGCCAGAGTTTCGACTTACCGGGACACCTTGACAAGAGTCAAGTTCTAAAGCCCATCCTTATACACCGGTGAGTATCGAAGCTTGGAAATGGCATGCTAATTCAAAACCCAGATTGTCGGGCTATGGACGCGTCACATCCCACGCATGGTCGCGTTAAAGATCTGCTCTTCTTTCTTGTCGCGTGTTATGCCATAGTCACACCGTGTTTGTGCGCTCAGCACGCAGTTAACACATAGTGAGGCGTCAATACATGTTTACATGCACAAAGACGAATTCATTTGAGTGTACAATTCATTGATACACACACACATAGAAAGGGGTTCTTGCTACTAGGGGTTCAACATTAACTCTAACCGTTGGTAGAGAACTGAGTAAAATGGCGCACTTCCACAACAAAGAAATATGTCGGTAGAATTGTTGTATTAGATTTTTCTGTTTTTATTATACACGTAAATGACAATGATCATATGACACGTAATTCTCCTTCACTCATAACTATTTTCCCTTTCGATGCAAGTGTGAAGAGCTTTTCTGGTCAATATGTGCATCTGTATTCCTCTCAAACATGTGATTTGAAAATACGATTACTTATTGTGCATTAGTGATATTATTATAAAAGAAAGCGAGTTACTTAACGAGAGCGAAGTGATTTTGGTCACATAAATTATCACACTTTTTACAAAATCACTTTTTTTTTTATAAAGAAGTGAGGGGCAATGCGTAGATCGATCCTAAGAAACGTATTGCTCACCTGTCGTTGTTGTTGTTGTTGTTGTCGTTTGCTGCTGCTGAAGGCCTGCGCTACTGTGACCGCCGTTCCGAGTTCCTGTGCCAGCGCTGCAGTTCGAGTGTCCGGAGGTAGACCGGCGCATCCTTGGACCAACAACGTTGGGGCCGGCTTGACCGTCGAAGGCGGAATGTCTCAGATGGGCTTCGCTCAGGTCTGGCTCAAGCCAGTCCTCTTCCCGGGAGAAGTCCTCGCTCGGAGATATCGTGTTGGCCGTCGACATATCGAAGTCGGAGTAGCCCGCTCCCAGCTCCTCGCTCCCGAATGCAGACGCCAGCTCCGAAGTGCACTCGCCTGCCCACCGAGGCGGGAAAAATAAACAAGTTAAACCATACGATCGATCACCAATTCACAAAAATAGCCACTGATCCGACGTCAAGGAAAACGCCAGAGTGGTTGTTCTTTTAAGTACGATACTGATGCTTGATCTCGACATGCGTTGATCCAGCAGATTTGCCAACAAGTCCTTTGGTATCTATGACAAAATGATAGTACTATAGGTAACTTATTAGTATTTTGGTAACGTGGTATTTTTTTTATTGGATTTATACTCGTTGCTCGTGATTGTAAGGTGTAGAAAGAATTTATTAAATACGATGAGGTGAGATATAAATGATTCAGGCAGGTATTACCATTGTTTAGTTAGATGTTATTGACGAAAGAAATAAAAATCATTATGCGTTATGATTGGTATGGAATTAGTTTGAGTAACAAACACACAGACACACGCATTCGGGACGAGCACCGCAGACGTGTTCGCTACGCTTTGTTCAGCTGTCTGTTGATTGTATGCTAACTAATAATAGCAGTAGCCGAGGCGTCAACAGTAATAGAAATGTATGCTTCCATCATTGCCTATACGTCGTTTTAATAGGGACTATTAAATGGTCAACATCGTTTTGGCATTTGATCGCCATCAATTGATGGACTACCAGCATCACATACCCGTGGTAGCGTTGGTATGTTTGGAGAAAGTCACCCTGGATGCTGCTGAATGCTCTTCATCTTCCGGTGAGCTCTTCATCTCCTTCGTATCGTCACAGCCGATGCCAGTCGTGCTCTCTAAACTCTTCGTTATGATTATTGCGTCTCCTGTTTTATCAATGCCCGTTCATACATGCGTTCATTTGTCATCAATCAATCACAACAAACAACATAGTTCGTCCATTTACAGATCATCATTGTCGTCGTCAACATCACGATCATCATCGTATTGCCGAACGACAAAGGCAAGATAGCAACAATCACACAACAGCGACATAGAATGTTGAGCAGTGATAAAAGTGAGTCACCAATAGTTGGGTAAACCGCAGTAATAACACATGTAACAGCCACCGAGAATTATGTTAGCGTGTACGTAGTAGGTCGTTTTATGTCGGATATAATGAGCGTCACAATTGCCATTGTTGTGCATAGAAATAAGTGCCGTCACCAAGATCCGCACGGGCGTACGTTATCACCACCACCACGGCGCGGGCACCATCCATCAGTATCACCATCATCGTCAAAGGAAGTTGGCCGTAGCCGCGATAGGAATAGCAACAATGACACAGCATAATAACAGAAAGAATAGGATTAGGATTCGTAAATGAATGAGTGGCACCACAATGAAATAACTGAATTCCATTTTGCAAGGGATGGCTTCAAGTTTTGCGATAGAAATTCAATCACGATTACTTATATTTCTTATTATTTACAGAGCCTCCGAAGTGAATTTAAGGGGAACTTCCGTATGAATTGGATGACAACTGAGTTGCATGGGTCAAGACATAAACCTTAAGTTGATAAGGTGTAAACGAATTCTTGCAGCAATGCTCTGTTGCTTTTTGGGGATCCGTGGGCATCAACTATCATCGCTTCAGCTTGTTATATTTTACTAAAAAACTACATCGTCGCCCTTGCAAAGGGTTCTTTTGTCTTAAGCTATTAACTCAAACTCAGATAGACCCATCTTTACAAAATTGCTTCGAGTAACAGGTGCCTGCCACTAGTTTCTGCTATGGCGATAGTAGTTGGCTACCGCGTAAACTCGGAGTAACACTATTTCTATTACTGACCGGTCATAATGAACGCTTCAGCCACTTTTTTCCTCTCAGTGCTGTGGCTTTTCATCATCGAAGCACTCGATGACATTGATGAGCTCCCGAACGCCATCCTTGTGGTGACCGCTGAATTTTCGGTGGCGGCGTCTTTATGATTAAGAACGGGCTGTCCTTCAGATATCGTAGTAGTAGTACCCATACTTGCGGATAAGTGATTGTTTTGGTTTGAATCTGGAGGAGGATGACTCCTTCGATGGTGACTCATAGCCCCAATGGTGGAGCTTGGCCCCAGCTGGGGGCCCCCAAGGGGCCCCCCTGCGTATCCGTTGGACGTCGCCGATGAAGCCGACTGAAGCATTGGGTTAAACCGCCCACCCGTGAAGAAGCGATGATCCTGCGGAGAGACCTAAAATGAAAACATCATAGGCCCCGCCAAGAAGAAATACAGCAGACCAAAGCATTTATATCGTCAACGCGCTTTGAAATGGGCGAAGTATTGTTTTGTGTCCGCAAGGACCCTGTCAGATAAATTTACATGCTGCACAGAATGAATATTAATTGTTTTTTATATAATGCAATTACTAAACAATTATATATGTTTCAAATAGGATTTAACCTTATCTTAAGGTTTAGCGGTCACTGGGCAGACCCGTAATTTATCAGTGTCATTCGTATTTGATCAAGTTCTTCAGGCCAAAAGCAAGGCGCCGAGAGGTAGGTTTAATCACATTATATTTCTGTTCCACGCCTTATTTCGAGATTAGTAGTGTAAACACATGTATGAACGAAATTGATGTGATGTCCCTTCTGTCTGAGCAGGTAGTTTTTGCAAAGATGCGTTATCTTGGCAAATTTTAACGGGATCAGATCACATCAGTTCTATTTACAGAGCTCTAAGATATTATAATATATAACGTATAAAATGTATTCACATTGCTTGTATTCAATTTTTTGGCCAAACATTTATTTCCATTGAAGGAACTGTGTGGCCTTAAAAATGTATGGGAGAACAGTCGTCCGTATTTATTATCTCAGGCTCTTCTAGCGAGTGTCGTTATTTAAAGCCGCATTTGGTTGCGCCCTTTTTGAAATTCATGCTTATGATTCCAATGTATTAAGTACACTTGAAACGAGTGATTTCTACATGTTATCCATGAAATCAAAACATATAGTATTTGTTTGACTTTATAAGTATTTATTGAATAAGAATAATAAGCCCGTTTTACCTCTCGGAACGTTAATAATGCCACTTATTTCGACTGACATTTTGTTGAGATAATCATACTCACATCAAAAACAAGCAAGACCTGCATCCAGCAATAAAGTAATCCACTAGTTGTTGACTTAATCATAAATAAAACAGTCTGACACTTGAACGTAACGTTGTTCGCCTCGAGCTTCCAACCTTGTCCCATTGCGTCTGCTTTTTTAGGTCAGTTTCCACTGTATTTAGAACGCACCAACACTGTTATGAAGGGAAACGCGCTTTCGCTTACAAGGAAATTCTCCTCTCGCTAACAGTTGTAATTTTCTGCCAACAGTGGGACTGCACAAAATCCGCTAGCCCGTTCGTAGTGCTGTGCTATCGAAAGCTAGGGGATCAGAAACGTTTGCGGACTTCAGGACGACGTCGACAATGGGTGGTGCATCGGACAGAGGCCGGTGAATATCAGTGGCCACCTAGCACCCAATGGCGACTTGTCTGTTTCTGTCTCGCAACTTAGATCCTTTTTTCTTTCTTTGCTACACACGTTCCTCTTTCCACTACCGCTCTATCCAAACTCAATGTATTTTCGTTGTGGCAGGCCACCTCAGTTGTTCCACGAATCGTTCAATAAACGACCCTCGTCTCTGATTGTACTGGTCTTCCAGTTAACATGGAAGCTGGCGAGGTTACTGCACCTTACATCACACGATGCAACCTCAAAGGCAGTCATCACTAAACAAGCGCTACCCGAGCCCAATCATATGTCTTCTATTTTTCGCTCTACAATGTTGTACGCCTTTGGAAACATCTTGCTCGCGTTTCCTATGATTTCGCTAGTGATCAGCTTTTGGCTGTACTGCTAACCAAGTCAGTTTATTCGGTTACTATGCATCAATAGCGGTCATTACCCTGTCTAGACCATCGAGACCAAGGCCTTTGATGATCTTTTTTCGTTCATGGGTGACTCATGTGTTATCTAAACGATTACATATGAACTACGTACTTCATGGCATATAATTAAGGTGCCAGCTCTGTATAGTTAATCTCTTAATAGCACCAACTGGAAATCGTTCAGTTGAAACCTTTGTAGAATCAAGTTCGTAACAACTTTTCAAAAGAATGTTATCATTTTTACGTTGGGAAATCAGTCAATCTTAACTTCGCCGATGCGATATGCTCTTTTTTTTGAAGTCAATACTTTTTGATTCCAGAGACTTCTACAGAATTGATGGCTCTTAGTGGTCTTACAGACCACATTCTAGAATGAAATGCGTCCATTGTAGTTACCCACAGGAGCAGATAAACAACACCATATTATCAAGACGAATATCTATGACTCAGTAGTTAATTGTGACAATTCTGCGATATTTGCTTTAGCAGTATTATGATTGTTTCCGGTTGCGGATTTGCAGTGTTCAAACAAGCGACCCGAAGCTGGAGGACGCCGGCGGAGGCGTTTGTCAAATGAAGTTGCCCTTAAGTCTAATTCAGCTGATGATGTTCAGCAGCGAACAATTATAATATGGTACATTACAGTAGCACACTTATGTATAAAAGCCACTTATGGACACTGTGTATAGTATTAAAAACGGTACCGTTTGTAATAAGGAAGCCACTTACCGCCAGCTTATACATTGTTAGTATATGAAATTTAGAGGAATCAGTCGATTCACAGGATTAATAACATGGGTTTCAAAAAAATTCACTGAACGAAATTAACTTACTGGAAAAGATATGTTTGTTGTTTATTCAAATACAAAATACATTTTGATAAATTATTTTACTTTTTTTCAGAGGTGGCAAATGGGTAACGCGACCGCCGGTCGAAAAAAACGGCCGTTAACCAAATAAACCAATTTTTATTAGAATTCTTCACTTTTGTTCATATATTTGGTAAAGTCACTAACGGCAACTTCAATGACTCGAGCGTGTTTCGTAAATAATTAAATACGGGTTGCCGCGTTCTCGTGCTTTCCCATTCCCCATTCCCATTCCCATTCCCGCTCGTAATTCTCTGAGCCCTCTCAGAACTGTATCGGAGAATTATAGATACAATATACACGAGTTATCTGACAACTAGCTCTTGCTTCAAATGATTATGTCATCATGATTATAACATAAGGTTGTTACAAACGAATCCGACGCACTTCTAAGTTAAACAAAATCTTAATTAGTTGTGCTAAAATTATAATTCTTAATATATACTGCAAATGCTCTTCTAATATACTTCTCTCAGCGTTCTGGCAGTTTCAAGACAGCCTATGTTTATTTTTCGCGTTCCCGTATTTATGGCTTCTTGAAATAAATAACTTGTGGACTCACTAGTTGCTCTTTTTATGACATGGAAAGCCCCGCAGTGACACAGACATAGATCAGGAGAACAAGCGGGTCTTCGCTAACATTAGATAATCATTTTGCTAAATCCAGGAAGTAATTAAGGCGATGGCGACTAACGTTGCCATAAGTATCCGTACTGCGTGCTTTTGACTACCATATCAACATGAACGTCTTGAGGAGCTCGAGATAGCGCGCTGCGTTCATTGCTTCATTTTCGGTAAGTATCGCATGGTAACAAAAACCCTTAATGTCCATTGCAAGTTACCTTACGTCTAAACCCACTCGACGCTGCCGATTTCTATCCACAGTAACGTCATTTTCACTTCTGTGGTTTTTCTTCGGTTGGCGACAGAGATCTATCAGAGGTATATTGCAACTGTATGCTCCAGGCGGTTTTTTGTTGATTAGAACTTCGCAAATTCCACGTAGGATACACTATAAGCATTTCCACTTGGTCTGGACTCGATTCACGGAGACCACATTTTTACTCAGTTGTCGTATTTTCAGCATTTGGGTTATAATTTTTTCACACGTTACATGCGACCTGCCAGTTTTGGTTGAAAGCTTCCTTGAATGCAGTAATGCATTCTGGGTTTTCGAGTCGCGGCATGTGGTCACCCCTTGACTTGCCGCCAATACTCCAACCTTTGTCCTTGAAAAATTTGTACTGTTGACGTACTGTGTTTTCACGAATCTTCAATAAATTTTCCGAAACAATTTTTAACGGAAGAAATACGTTTCTGCAAATATGCGTGATGCCTACGCAGCTACAGTCAGCCATATGCATCTAGAAATAGGGTTTAGTTCCATTTAACTTGGTTCAATAGTTTACGATAACTGCTTATCATAACTCGACTGTATATAAAAATGTATACCTCACCTTGCTGATTAAGAATAAATTTACCGTCATTGTTCACGCTTGTTGCTATTTTTACGCTAAGTCTTTGAGCGACGACAGAGTCCACCGAGATGGTGAAGCTTAATTGGTGAACCCCAATCCGAATTCGTTTGCTCTTATTAGTACCTCTATATTATTGCGTCGTATCAGTGATAGACGACACTGATCAAGAAGACCATATGTCTCTGCAAGTCCCTCCAAGAGCACGTAAATACTACACTGTGTATGACGAAAGTGTGTGACCAAAGGAAGTTATTTTGTAACAGAGCTAGCATATGTACATATACTAATTAAACAAAATGAAAAATTACGACATACATGAAAGCTATTTTAAGATGTTAATTTATTACCAGGACATTCTATAGTGTACTTTACGATGTAGCAATAAGTTAAGACTATGATACGAATCATAGATGCGAAGAGAAAACAAACCATGCTAAGAGTCTTATAATACCATAAACGAAGTTCTCTAATACACCTAAATTATACTTCAATTAAACGTACGGCTCCTTTACTTATTTAGAGATATTACTAACTAAGTATTTAACAAATATATCAAGTTATATTTTATTAATGCCTCAGGTTACTCACGTTTTAGACTAGTACTATTAGCTTTAGTTATAATGAAATCAATAGTACCAAAAGATACCCAAAGTACTTTACACTAAACAATGTCGAATGGTCCTCATAGCTGGGAGCTTGTCATGTCTTATTTGAGTAATGCTTATACCAGAACTTCCACGTTTTATTACAGAAGAGCTTGTATCCTGGTTTGGAAACTAAACCTATACATTCGCATAGGTCTGGCCTCGTGTAGGTCCACTCATAAAAAAACTAAAGTTTAAATGCCAGTTCTAGAGAGATATTCTCAATACGAACAAAAACTAGTCTATAATGATGTTACTAGTAATGTCTTTCCTGGCGCTCAACTCATGGTTACTACACATTGGCATTGGCACATTAACTTTTTTTTGAATAAGGTCGCTGTGCACCATATGAAACGTCATCTATTTTCTTTATACATCTGGTCCAGTACGACTGTTTGAAGTCTTTGCGAAGATCAAACACTATTTTCCCTTCTTTACCCACCTGGATATTTCTGTCGTAGTCCGAAACAGTCTTCCAGCTGGCTTCTCTTCCAGGTGAGATTCTACTAGCTTCTCTACCGTGGAATCGATCTGACTGAGCGCTTCCTAACTCCGAATATAATTGTGTGTTTTGGAAAGAATCTTTTCCGTGAGTAAATCGTTGAGGCCTGTTGTCAACACGGGGGCTTGATACACTCTTTTGAGGACAGTCACCAGAAGCACGATAACTATTGTCTAGCGAGGGCTCATTGTGAGAAGCATTAGCTCTACCTCTATTGTCGTTAACACTAACAATGTTATTATTGTTTTTACTGTTGCTGGGGTTTTTCTTAACCACAAGCGTAACTTCATCCCGCGCAAGCCTAAGGTGCTTCAGTAGCTGGCGTATGTGCACGTCTCCTGCAATCAAACTGTCCACGGAAACGATCTCATCTCCCGCTTCCAACTGTAATAAATACGAACAAAACAAAACAAAACACGTTATGTGATTTAAAGTCGCCCTAAATTTTTATGCTTTGGTCCATTAACAATGACCTCTTTTTCATGGTATAAACACCATGCATTAATTGTTACTGTTGTTATCGCTATGATCTTACCTACCTTGTTACATAGTTTATGGTCTATTTTTGAAAATGCTAAGCTTTCATTCGCTCTAGCTAAATTTACGAATACCTACCGCCAAGTAACATCAGACGTATCCCTGTCGTTTAGTTAATGAAAGCATTGTAAGGCGAAACAGCAGGAGCAAAGCTACCGCAAGCAATCTTATCTTTGACAAGAAATATTTCACCGTGATCGCGGTTCGCATGAACGTTCCAAATTGGCGTAACTAAACTAACAAGCTGGATAAATTTCGTTTACTAAATATTTACCTAAAATGTTTGCCCTTCATTGAACTCTTTTCTTTATGCTTACGGTTTTAGTTTACGGGGAGTAGACAACTTTCTTAGAAACTAGTTCTCTAGTGCTGAATGTTCAATCGTTCAGGTTCTTATTATTCTAATTGTGCTTTTCTGCTGTGTATTTGTCCTTCGCTTTTACCAAGGGCTTGAGGAGTTTTTCTGGACGGTAGACTCATATGCCGTAGGCGACGGTCGAGCCGAACTGCTAGAAAGTTACAACGTATGGTTAACAATGTCTGGAAAAACGTTTATAAACCAAGTCGGGCTAACCCTAATGTTTGACTAGTCTCGACTTAATGGCAAGCTCACGCGTACCGCCGGTGATGTTGGTGTGCGAGCCATGGAAAAACATAAGAAAGAACATTACAGAAAGAATCCCTTCAAGCTCTCCCCTAAAAGTTCCCCTAAATTTCAGCATAGCCTGGACGTCATTTTTCCGGCAGCTTTAAGTTACATACGCATATATTTAGTTAGTTAGCTAGCTAGCCCAAATGTTTTCGAGCCCTATCTGTCCACGTATCTCAGTTTGTTTGATCTAAAAAGAAATTTTTGAACTGAGTTTTTTTTTTTTAAAGAAATGTATAAAAATAAAAAAAGCTCAAGGGTTGTACGCTGCGTCAAAGTAGCTGTCAGTCGTATAAACTGCCAAATTTTGGAATCATGTCTGCATTATTCGCAAGCAACGGTATTTCAATATATGGATATTTGCTTCAGAAAAGTTTTTTATGCCTTTTTAATAGAGTTAATTAGGTCATTACATTTATAGCTATTCAACATCGATCAATAGGGGTGGTCTGCGGTACATCCTTGATGAACGTTATACTTCGCAATACATCTTAATTTATAACAGCGGTGTAAATATCACCGAGAATATATCAGGATAATGTATGTTTATTGTCTGGATGGACACACATCTTTGTTTGTGTTTGATGATTTTGTCTGAACCTAAGTAACTGACACCAGAATGCCCGGTACCAGAATACTTCTCGTTGGAGGTTCTATATAGCGTGAACCAATTATTGCTATTTCTTTTATAAAAGGAACATATTTTATGAATGAATGCACTTCTCAGTTACTTTAGTATTTTAAATACTAAATTAACACACTTTTCCATCTAATCGAGGTTAATATATGCACCGACGTGCATTTTTTGGATTTAGTTTAAAAACTAATTTTTTAAATAACAAAAAGTAGCGATAAGCGGCTTTGCATTTCTTTTTCAACCTGCGATATCTGATTGCCAAAAACGGTTATCACTTGACCGAATAGTCCAAACACAGTATGCAACCATATTCGAGATACCGAGTAAAACGACCACTGCGTCCTATTTCCTTTGAAATCACCTGAGCTTTTAAAGAATACGGCAAGCATTATAGCAAGCTCTGTTGTCGAGCTACGGATTAAGGCATCTATTTCTAATGATTCTCATTTTTCTATGCTGGTCTACACAGCCCTTGAGCTACAAAGGCCACGTTCGAAGGCGCTCCGAAAATTTGTTCCCCATCTAACGGAGCTTTAGCTGTAACAACATTCCAACATACAACATGGCACAAGTACTGTTTGTGCGCGCCGCCAGTTGAATAGAAACTGGCATACCAAGCGAATCCTGTAAGTGCGCCGATGCTTACAACTACCAATCAGCCCCATTAGGCTACAAAGGACAGAATATATTAAACGGAACATTTTGTTGAGAATTATTTTCATTAACCGTGTCTAAGCTTCAAAAATCAGAATGTTCAAGGAGTTCAACAATGACTATAATAGGTGTTGGCTTAATAAGCATGTCCAAAGTTGCGAATAGACTAGAATTTTTGTGACCCTAACATTTGGCAACATTTATTTTGTTTTCTTAGTTTTATTTTCGGGAACAACGTATCCGTAACATCTTTTTTTTCTTTTTAGTAGGATAGAAACCAATTGAAGAGTAACAAAAATTGCTTTCCTACTGGATAAAATGGTTAATAATAATAAAATATAAAAAATATTAAAAGGACTGGACCCATGACAGACTTTGTGGTGCAATCCACATCAAATGCTCCCTTGTTTTCAAAGAGGTATTAAAGAAAAGCCGGGCGTTGCATTTTTTGCGTTAATCGCTAGAGATCATTAGAGGTTCAATAATAAGAGATACATTAAGCATCCAAGAGCTATCGATGTTTGATTGAATTAGATTCAGAAACTATACTGACACTTCTGTCAACTACCTGCGCCTGTAGTGTATTTGCGGATTCAGGGCTTCTTCTTTCTCAAAGCTGTCCATTAGGTATCCTACTAGCCAGGAGCTCTACCATTTAGAAAATTCACCAAGATACAAGCGTTGAAAATAGCAGACTTAAATCTTTTTTTTTTTCTTAAATCCAACAGGGACTCAGAAATGATGGGTGTTAGCTTCGCAATTTCCAATTATTGGCATACTTCTCTCATGTTTTATCAAATTTCCTCTAATCAACTTCTCATTTCTATTACTAATTTTCAATATCTTTGCATCTGTTAACAGACTGTATTTACGTATGTCGTTGTCTCGTGTTTCTATGAACTATTCTCATCGAAGTCTTTGTGGCAGCCTGTTATAACCACGTAAAACTTTCCCCACGTTCGCAATGCAATGCGAAATCTAGATCCAGCAGTTAACGCTGACAACAGCGTAGCTGTAAAGTTCAGAAAATTACCACTTGCTTGCTGTTGCTGTTTTTTCTAGTAACCCTTCTGAACCTTTTCACTTACCCTGGCACTAAAACCCCATTCAACGGGAAACCTAATCCTTATCACATTGGCAACTTTCTACATAAGCCTTTCAAAGTGACAACAAGCCTACAGCAACTTAGTAATCGGGCTCTCAAGGATACGCCAACACAAGCTTGCGGGACTTGGTTTGAAATAGCCAATGCTTTTAGACAGGGGTTACACACTTCGTGATACGATCGACCGATTTACCCTTTATGATTTTTTTTTCATTAAAAATAAGACATGCGGAGTGTTTTGATCTTCCTAAGGAAAAGTCAGCGAATAAAAAACATTAACCTGAAAATTCGCGCAATGGGCCTAGATTTTTTTCACTAGCATGATTATAATCGACTCCGAAAGAAGCGCTTGTAGACGAAATTCGTTACATCATAACAATACATATAAACCATGGCTTTCATGGTGTACTGTGCCAAGAGACACGTGTCGGTGACAAGAACAACACTTGTAGATGTATCAGTAATGGCAAAAGCTTTTTAACCCTTTCAAAGTTCTCACAACGTATCAAAGCGTTCAGGGAGCTTTAGATTCATCGGAACAAGCGACGAACAAAATGGGATCAAACCTCAAAAAATGAGTGCGGGAGACCTGAAGGCAGAGTACTTCAACATTTTTTTTTCACATTTACGGCGCTATGAGACAGAGATTTGTCATGGAAAGAGACCTCTGGCAAGAACAAGTACTCCTGAGAGCTTCTAGTAATGCTAGTTAGTATTGATTAGTTTTTCATCATTATAACTGAAACGTTATGACTTTTTACGTTTGTTATGTCTTTTGGTTCAGTACATTATGATAGACGCTGCCTCCTAGATCCCACCAAAATGGAGAGGCCTGTCCTCAAGACATTGGAATCACACACTGAATAAATCTGTGATATTTAGTACACAGTGCATTTTACCCAAAGTTGTGTATAAGCAAAAATCAGAAAAATCTTTATTACATTTGATTCGAGAGAAGCATTTGTATACGGTGAGCATGTCTAACTTGGTTTTCTCACTTGCGTTACCTTGAAGTACGCCATTCAATGGCGGAAGCCTTGTAAAGTTTAAATTTGTTGTTCCTGACATTTCGTCATAAAACAGCATATAATTATAATTCCAAATAGTGCGTTTCCAGGCCTTATGTTTAGCAGAACTTTCATACAACTTTGAATATTATTACTATTAAAAAACGATCGCGTGCAATTTTCCAGTTTAAATCTGTCGGCATGGCCATGTTTTTTGTTTTTTAAACTAAAAACAATAATAATAACAAATAAATATATTTCATAATTTGGGTCGTGCTTATTTTACACATGTGATAAATCATTAACTGTTTTAAAAAAGCCAGTAGCATAAATATTGCCGTCTTTAAGGTATCAACTTTTTTTTTCCTGGTTAGCAAGTTGAGTGGTAGTGATTAAAGCAAACTTGTCTGTGATTTATATGGTGGCACTGCGTTTTGATAGACTAGGGCCAAGCAAATTTTATAAACGGCATACGGGTAAAGATGCGAAAGGAAAAGTTACGTAGACGTCACAACACAAACACTTCGCCAGTTATTGGCAATTAGTTAACAAATATACACGAAAATAGATAAAAACGGTTAGAAAGCGAAAAGTTACTCCAACGAGTAACTTAAACCACAGATACAACAATCGGCCTAATATTATTCATACTCAATCAGATAGCCTTAATTTTCAAGACGAAGCACTAGAGCGATATGTTTTCCAACGGCTAACCCTATACGAGCGGTATTACATTAAAGACATCGGCGACAATTTTTAAACTAGTCGCAAACAATCTAACATGATTGTGAATAT